CCCTGGGTTGGCTACCGCCCGTCTGGAGGAGGGAAGATCCTTGGGTGCACCCAGACCTCTTCTGTCCCTGGGCATGGTGCCAGCAGGGCAACGCAGTGTCCCAGGCTAAATCCCACGCTGGGGCTTCTGCCCTTGCCAGGAGTGGGGATACTGCAGCCACCTCGCTCCCCAGGGGCAGCCATCCATGATCTGCTCCTTTCCTACCCCGGCTTCACCGGTGCTTTCCTTTGACGTCTCCAACTCCCCGCACCCTGGATGGCAGGCGGCAGCCCAGCTGGCCCCTCTGACGGCACCTGGCATCCCTACCAGCTCGTCCTGGAGCAGGGAGGGCAGATGGAGAGCTGCTGCCTCTGCCACTCCCCACCTGCATGGCACCTTCTGCCTGGCAGCTGGCTGGCTGTGTGGTTCCTCTTCACCCACTGCGTGCTGAGGCCTGGCACAAATGCCAGTGCTATCTGAGGAAATCCTCATCCCTGCTGAAATGTTTGGCCATCCAGAAGAGAAATCCCAGGGAAATCTCCCCAGCCACAGTGCCAGGCTGTATTGATGTGGCTCCCAGTGCTTGGCCATCCCCAGACCACATCCTGCTGCTCGCATCTTGCATCCTGCAGCCTTCGTCCTGCATCCCACAGTCCGCATCCTGCAGCTTTCATTCTGCATCCTGCAACCTGAAATCTGCACTCTGCATCCATCAACTTCATCCCTGCATCTTTCATCCTGCAGCCTGCATCCCCCAGCCTGTGCTCTGCAGCCTTCATTCTGCATCCTGCAACCTTCATCCTGCACCCATTCTGCAGCCTGCAGCCTACATCCCAGACATTGCATCCCATAACTGCAGCCTGCATCCCACATCTCACAGCCTGCAGCCTGCTTCCCCCACTTGGCCTGTGATCCATACCTGTGGAACGGTTTATTTTGCTCTTCCTTGCAGTACCAGTCACAGAGCACCTGTCAGTCTCTGCTTACACTGCCCAGCACACCCCAGCCACATGTATCCCGATACACATGTAGGATGACCCAGGTGCCCTTCCCTCTGGTGGGCACATCCATCTCCCTGTAGGATACTGTGAGGGTCAGGCCATGGGTTTGTGCATGGCATTGTGGCTGCAAGAGTTTGGATGGCATGTCTTCTGCTCATTGCCCTGCCGGGACGGAGGAAGAGAGGAGGAGGGGACAAGGGGATGGATGGGCCATGGGTGCATGGTGCACAGAGGCTGGAGACTCCCTGCCCTTTGTGCACTCCCTTTCCGCTGCTTTTGCCTCCCTTTCCTGGGGCTGGAGGGTTGGGGACCCATGCTCGGGTGCTGTGGGGGACTCAGGCAGCAGGATAGACTCAGTGCCCCAGTGTCCACCACAGGCCTGGGGAGGGCCAGTGCCAGACCCACTGGCAGTGATGCTGGAGGCTTTGCATCCCTGAGCCCATGAGTCAGTTCCCATGAGTCAAGGAGGGCAAGCCTAGTGGCAGCCGTGCTTTCCCCGGCTCTGCTGCACCAAAAGAGAAAGCCACTTCCTCCAGTCATCTCTGGCTTTTCTCTGCCCTGCTCTGTACCGGCACCCGCGTTTATCTGTGCCAGCACCTGTGGCTGTCTGTACTTTCCAGAGGACCCTCACCGTGCCTACAGAATTCAGATGGCCACAAGGAGCCACCAGCAAGGACCCCTCTGTGCCTCTTCTGGGAAAAGCCCCTGGGTTAAAAGTGAAGGGCACTACCTCGCTGGGACAGGCACCCATCCAGTCTCTGCCACATTCCCTGTCCCAGCCCCAGGGCACCCCATATCCCGGCTTCCCAGGCCCACCATCCTTCATGGTCCCCTCTCCCCCGCAGTGACGTGACATTCATGGTGGGCCAGGAGCAGCAGAAGGTGTTTGCCCACCGCTGCGTGCTGGCGTGCCGCTGCCAGGCTTTCCAGGGGATGCTAAGCCAGGGGCCAGTGGGCAATGAGGACTCCCCCAGGAGCGTTCCACCCCAGGGCCCCTTCATCCTGGGCAACGTGCAGCCAGAGGTCTTCCTAGCCGTCATTGAGTTCCTCTACACCAACAGCGTCAGCCTCAACAGCCACATTGTGAGTGGGGATGGGGCTGACAGAGATCATGGGCATGGGAGGGACAAGGGGTAGATGCTGGGGTAGGGGGTTCTTTGTGGCTCCTGGAGCGCTGAAGGTGGAGGGGATGCTCCACATGGTGCTTTCTGGCTGGCTGACAGTGCAATGAGTGTGTGGGGTCTCAGCCCAGTGCATTGGGATGCCCAGAGCACCTTGTCCCATGTGTCTGCCCCAGCCTTGGGACAGCTGGCTGTACGCACCCCGGACACTGGGAATGGGGACACCGGAGCAGGACACCTTCATATGCCCTCATGTGGCAGCCCCTTTCCCTCCCCCATGCCCCACCTGGGAGCTCCCACAGAGGCAAAAGGACACATGCCTTTGGCCCCTGGGCTGCCATGCCCCTCCATGGCCCTGTACACTGGTGCTCACAAGGTCTCTCCTGATTGCAGGCGTTGGAGGTGCTGACCTCGTCAGTGGAGTATGGCCTGCAGGACCTGTGCAAGGTACAGCCCTGCTTAGACTGAGGCGGTGGTCCCTGAGTGCCCCCATGCTGAGGAGCACCCCAAGATGATCCCTGCATGGCTGGTGGTGGCTCTGAGGGCAGCACTATGGTGCATCCAATGCAGACTCAGCCCCTGCTTCTTGATCCTGGAGGGTCTTTCCAGTGGGATCCCCCTTGGAGGGACGCAGCACTGGCCAGGAGCCCCGCAGGGGCTGGGGAACCCCAGGGAAGGGCATGGGGTGTCACATCTCCAACACAGGAAAGGGCAGCAGGAAAGTCCCTATGCCATTGCCCGTGGGTGCCCTCTG